ACACACAGACAACCTCTCGTCAGTATGCGTTTTTTGCATTGCATAGCTGCAAAAAACGCATAAAAACACAAAACTGCGCTCAGTTGACATATAAACCGGTGATGCAGTGGTCTAGTATGCTGCTTTCGATTGTGAAAATGAGTGGTTTGGCCCTTCAGAGTTATTTTTAAAAAAACTCCGTTCACGAAAACGAATCTAAAATTAGGAAGATGATGCCGCACTTCACCAGAGCCGCAACTGAGATGATTTTTTGTGTTTTAAGTTAGAAATTTATGAAAGAGCCAAAGTAAATGTGCAAGTGGACAGGAATTCGCATAGGACTCGAAGCACAAAAATTTTTTTGAAAGACCTGTATGCTTGTTATAGATGTGCGAAAGGTCAGTACAGTTCTGTCAGCAGACCAAATTGACCAGCTGTTGAAAGAAGCCCGAAGCAGCAGTAGTGCAAGCGCTGGCGCGGACAGTAATTTGGGTGCGCCGCAAAATTTGGCAGTCTCGGTGAATGATAATTCCTCTTCCTCGTCCTGCTCCTTGTTTAGTTCAGCCATGAATGGCCAGTCGAAATCATCAGTGGATCTACATGTCAGTTCAAAATCCATCGAGCATCTCGATTCTCCAAGTGTACATCGCCGATCACGATCCAATTCCACCGGACAATCAGACCTTCCAAACAGGTTGCAAATTGAATCCTATATTTATATTTTAATAACTCTGCAATTAAATACCTCCGTTTTTATGCATTTTTGCATATATGCAAATGCAAAAATGCACATTGGTAAACGGCTGTTTGTATGTGTATGTGTGTTAGTATTGCCTAGACCTTTAGCCTAAAACTCATTTTATTGTAAATTTTTGTGGATTCTTTTGAAGAAAATATTGTTTTTGTAAAGCGTAGCCGAAAATCACCTGAAAATAAACTACCATGAGAACAGAAATATGGTATCCAGTGGCTAACATTGCATGGTTTAGTAGATGCAGCTCTGATAGTCCCTCTACCGCTGGTCGCCGTTCATCGCATCTATATAGCAAACGACATCTGTATATCAACGGTACACCATCGGCGTCGACATCGCTAGAACATCGCGAAGTGTGTGATCTGCATGATAGTAGCCCGGAAATCTCAGAGCGAAAAGCGACCGCACGTCCAGACGCACGATGCCCGTCGCCATCAAACATTATTATCTGTGCAGACGATCGTGATACCG